GCAGGAACACTGATACACACAGAGGTAATACGCGTGTACACGCTCTATGAGATTCTTACCTTCAAGAACTGGATTTGACTGCAAAAGTTGTTCTTTCACTTGATTAACCTCTGCCCCTTTTCCACACACAGCAGCTACATATGACATGACAAGTTTGCTCGCCTCTGCGGGGGGAAGAGCAAAATAAAGCAGTGATAAGTATTGGCAAATAAGCCATAAAATGATTTGCAGACTTGATCTCCATCCAATTTTCACCACACCAGACAGGTGCTGTAAGCACATTTCGTTTCAGTTTTCATCGACGTTGTTGTCCCAGCTGGAAATGAGGAAGGAGCACATCCTGCTACGAGACCCATGCCATGACATCAGCAGCCCTATTGACTTAAACACCTAGAGCCTTCCCAAGCTAAAGAAGGATCAATAGATATGGCACACCACCCCCTACTTTTTCATTTAGCCTCAGTAAGAGGCATTCAGTAAGGAAAGAATATTAACCCTAGCTGACACGTTGGAATGGTTTTAATCTAGCCTGAAAAAAGAGGCCCAAGCAGTTTCAAGATGCAAAATTCAATCAGTTTATATCGTCAGATACACCACAAGTGTAAATATGCAATACTATACACGTCATTACAACTCTCAAGTACGCTACAAGTAAATGAATAACTGCAACATCACATAACGCTATGCAGTCTGTTTCAAAGTACAACGCATAGAGAAAGTGAAGCATTCATTTAAACATTTAAAGAAACTAATTTGAAGGTACAAACTTTTAACAAAGTCTGGAATGATTTTTGGACTCTCAAAGCTGGGTTCATGTGGATGTCGATCACCCATATACAGACAGAAACAAATAGTAAATAATTCATTCAACCCTTATTTTTCTGTTGGTCAGGACAAAGAGCTGCTCAGAAAGGATTCTGTTTATAAACAGAGTCTATGATGTTTAGTACAGAGCAAGATAGTGAAATTTGAGGCAATATCAGCTGACATGCAACAGCATTACTAACAGCTGGAATCTGTATCAACTCAAGACACTGGTCATAAAAAGCCCATTACGTGTTCTTCAGAGATCTGTTTCAAATTTAAGGGTTTCATGTCAGGAAAGCACTGACAAACAAGAAGTAGTTTTCCCTTGGATTTTGATTCCTTCCTATTTAATCAAATTTATTTGCTAGTATGAAATTACTATTCCATACAGTATAAAAACTGAGCAAACCTGCTACACAGGCAGCAAGCAAGAGGCAAGCACTGTAGATGTGTCCATAAGGCCTCCCACCTCCTTTAATTGTATCTCAAACCCAGCTATCATTTTTAGGAATCCATTCCCTTCAGAGCTTGGAATTACCAAATTATTTGATTTGAAATATCTCCCAAAACAGCCAACGTCTTTAAGTAGAGCTACTCAATCACAGAGAGAAGAAAGCACTGAAGCAGCAAATAAGCCATTATAAAATAATATGCAGTAAGACAACACACAACGACTTCAATATAGGCTTTGAACGTCACTGAAAGAAAATAAAAGCCTTTTCTTTTATTAGGAACTCTGTTAGGTCCAATAACACCACCAGGAAGGGAATCATCATTTTAATATCTAAAAGCATTTAAATACACCACTCATTCTAGTAACGTACCATGTTTTCTTGCACAATGTTACTATTGATTAGCAATATAAACATGCAGTGAAAGAAGAACAAAATTGCAAGTAAATAAAAAAAAAACCCACTGATGACAGTTCAGTTTCAATTCTTCCAACCCAAACGTGCCAAATGTTCTGGCTACCAAAAAATCTATAACAGAGTTATATAGGATCTGTGCTAACAAGTTTTTTCTCAAATCCAGGAACTTCCTCCCTGTCCTTTTTTTTTTCTTTTTTCTTTTTTTTTGCAATGAAAATCTGACTTCTCAGTTAATAGCCTCATTTCAGCAACAGTAGTTACATCAAATGTTAGAGAGAATAGCACAGCTTCTGAGTTGATTATTGACTTGAATTTCAAATCTTGTATTATTCTGTACTTACCTTTATAAAGAAGGAATAATTCATATTCAAATATGAATATTCAAAAGAAATAATTCATTTCGTAGCCATATGTCCCATATGGCTATGAAAATTACAGAACAGTCAAAATCTCTATACAAATCTAAACGTACCGGAATATTCTCTGCAAACAGAGAAGTTCAGAAACTCAACCACTGCTACACCTTTTAACTGAATAAAGAAATGAATGAAAGGTAGACTTCAGTTGTATGAGGCGCTTGATAATTCTCAGTTCCTGAGGAAATCAAGACATTAAATAGTATCAATACAGAAAGCCTTTCTAAAGCCTGAACTCCTAGACAGAATCTCTAACAACCATATTAATAAAAACTTGATTATTTTAGTATACCCTTTTACTAAACACACCTGCATTTTCATGATATCGTACTGAAAAAAAAAAAGGATTATATTCCAAGATTCCTAGACCTCTCACTTGAATGCCACTAATCAGACAAAGAAAAACAAAGATGAAGTCTACACTTTACATTTTCACAAAAGGCTTGGAAAGCAACTTCTTGTTACCCACTTCAAGTCTTGCTCAGTATAAGCCTAGAAAGCTCCACATTTTCTCAGATTTAAATGAAAAAATCTCTTAAATTACATGGAAACAGATGTATGTGTTCCTACCCACTGCCTCTTCTGCAAGTCACCGCAGTTTCAAATTGTTATTTCAGAATGCAACTGGCTTCTTTCTTCTTTAACATCTACCTAAAACGCTCTGCAGTTATGCAATCCTCGCTTGATTTCTACCATTCCAGTTTAAAAATCAGCGGTCATTTTCAAGGCAATTTCAGCTTTGCCTGAGAAACACAGTGTTCTGGTACGCAAGCCAATCTTAGAATTGCAGCTGAGCACAGCATGCAAAAGACTGATGAAATTTCCAAAGCAATCAGCTACTATTCTTTATTTTCCTTGGATAAATAGCATAATCCAGTTTAAATGGATATTTTTATTAAAAGACATGCAAAAGTATCAAAGGATTATCTACCAGTCTAGGAGACCAAGAGCATTCAGTTGTCCTCATGTTTCCCACAGGGAGAGCCTAAAAGCTTTCTGGCCCTTGCAATACTCTCTCACAAACCCAGCATTACTTTCCTATCACTTTGCATACTGATGAGGATATTGTACTAACATGCAACCGGACTGCAGCACGGTGGCAACGTGAAAAAACACCAGTTTATGTAAGTGCACGCCTATAGCAAGAAGCGTGACAGCGCTGATTTTCTGCAATCGCCAGACACGAAAAGGTAACGGCATCTCTCAACTCTTACAGACTCCAGCATCGCTTTGCAAGACTCTGAGTAACTCTGACAGTTTTTTAGTAAGATCAAAACTGCTTATTACCTGTTTTTCCAGCTCCGCTCTCTCCTGTAATAAGGATGCACTGGTCTTTGTCCTGGTCCCTTAAAGATCTGTATGCTTCATCTGACAGAGCAAAGCTGCAAAGAAAGGAAGAGTCGATTGAGAATTAGATAAAACAAATACAAACAATAACTACAATCTGTCCTTCACATCCAGGCAAGGAAAAAAAAACAACAAACAAACAAAAAACCCAAGTGCTAATATCCTGTAAGTGGTCAAGCATTCACTTTTCAGACTATAGAGACACACAGAAGCAAAATGGATGCTTTTTCTCTGTGGCTTATTTAAACTTTCTCCAGGAACAAGCAAGCATAATCTCAAAGTTTTTCTAAAGACAGCAAGCTCAGAACAAATTCACAAAATTTCAGGGAAATTTAGGAAGATTTCTTCATTGAACAACGTGTCATATTCTTCATTGAACAAAATGTCAGGAAACAGGAGAATCCTGAGCCCTAACAATACCATAAGCTGCAACTTCTCTGAAAAGTATGAAGAAATCTCAGAACCTTAAAAAATACTGAGCATTTTAAGCATTCGGGTATCGCTGGACCTTTGCATAAATATGCAGAAGTGTTTCTCAATAAGTGTGTTCTTAACTCAGCAGGGGCGATGTCATGTAGTGCAATTAAAGGATATAGTGACAATCGACATCTATCTTGTACCAAAAACATCTTTCCATGGAGCTCACAACATCACGTCCCTGAAACTACTGGGCTGCAATTGGAATCCAGATGTGCTTTGCTGCTGTGCAGCACCATACGTTTTGGAGAAATGCAGATGTGTTACTTACATTTAGTTTTCTTTAATAGTAACTTTGAGACAGAGAAAGAGCATGATTGATTTTGTTTCAATTGCATTTTTCAGTTTATGGAATAAAGGACTCCGGAAACAGAGCATTAGAATCCCTTGGAAAAATTTAAGCAAGTAGTATCTGAAAAAGGACATAAAAGTAAAATTCAAATAAAAAAGCACGCTTGCATTACACAACTTACGGAAAAAACCTGATAGCCAAACATGGCATATTTTTACATGAAATAAACATCCATTCAACAGATCAAGAGCTTTGTTAGATTACTGCACCTAGCAAAATATTTAGTGTTTGTATGTACCTAAAAATGGCTGTTGTTTATTATTTACAGTAAACAAATCATGTATGAAAAATAGAAATGAACTTTCAGGTCAACATAAAATGTGTAATTGTTGCAGGTTCAATGCACCTTTTAGAAACCTGATCCTTAATTCTAGGACAGTTCAGGAGCTTTGCATTCAGCTGGTAACTACAAAGAGATCTAAGCCAGCTCTTTGTCATGAAACTACTTAGGGGTGGCACGGACCACACAATGCAAGTAGTCAGAGCCACACGGAGCTTCTTCTAGAGGCTCCTATTGCCACAGCTTGAAAGCTTCAAATATTAAACCTGTACATACTCGAATTAGTTCACAGTTATTGCTACCGCTGTCCCTTAGCTCCGGCAGTTCTTCCTGGCTTCTCTCCACCAAAAGGTTTATGGACAGCATGACATATTGTCCCCAAATTATCATCACATGCATGTGCAACACCATTTGCACTTCCTCATCCCTCATCAGTATTAGTCTCAGCTCATGCTTGCTTCTTTGTGTTTTGGCTTCCTTTGCTTGTTTGTTTTGATGGTGGCATCATGCTATCAGCTCAGCCATCCTACAAGAGATCACCAGATCAAGTGAGTGGTATTCCAAAAAGGCTGGAAGATGGGTAAATGAAATACCTCAGAACTCCTTTGTTACTAACTAATCACACCTTCCAGTCCCTCTCTAGTTCCTGCCAATAATGCTCATGTCATTGATTCTCCCTCTCTTTGTGTCCCTCTCCCATTCTCTTCTCTCCTGCAGCACATCTGTCTGTCTAGTTGCAAGACCAAGCCAGGGCTCCATCACTCTCACTGCTTTTCTCACCAACTTACATGTCTAAGGCACTAAACCACAACTCTCCTCTCTGCTCAGATGGTTGGGCCATCCACTTAACAACAACCATCAAAGGTCATTAACTCCTTTTGATACGTATACCACTGAACCCAAATGAAGACTGATCTCTCAAAACTTAAAACTGCTATGGTGATTGAAGCATTTGACTCAGGAGTTCAACCAGAGGTGAAAATGTGTTTACGAGAAAGTAGCAGGCCGTCATGTTTTCAGCATTACAGCAAAGTCTATTTGTGATGTGGCCAACAGGCTGGAGAACTAGCAGAAAAAAAAAAAAAAAAAAATCTGCTCCTGCTGAGAGACCATGACACAATTTCTGGCATCCACTTTCCTGTCCGGAATCCAAACTACAGTAGCAATAACACTTTACCAGACTCTCTTACAGGACATATTTAGGAAATGAATAATATTTGTTGAACGCTGCTGTAGATATACTTGTAAATTGAAGAGTACAATGCACAGCACTCAGAAAAGCTTATTCCAGCACACATTGCATTCCTTTTTGCAAGGGGAAAAAAAAAAAAAGAAGCAGTAGGATGAAGAGGAAAGAAATAAAACTGCATTGAGCATTCAGGGACCATGTGAGAGAACGTTAGTACTAGTGTCGTGGTTTCCATG